AAAAAAATATATATATATATTTATACTTATTTCAAAAGAGCTTAAATGTGAAAACATGCACACCTTAAAATAGAAACTACATGGTATAATTGGCTCCATTTTACAGATGGTGAAACCATAGACTCAGAAAGGTTACTTTATTGCAGAAGGTGATGTCAAAGACTATGTCCCTATTCCATGCATCATATTGCCTTTCATTCTGTGAAATTGTGATGAAGCTTTGTGATTAATAATCTAGGATGTCAGAATTCTGGGACTATTGGTGTTTACTCACAAGAGGAAGGCTGTGTAGTACAAATATCGGCTCTTTTAAGCCTCCCCTTGACTTCCAGTCGGGCCACCGTCATGTTCTGAAACTGGTGGTATTATATCTTGTAGCTTAACCAGAGTGGAACATTCACTTTCCCCCAGGCATGTCATGTTCTTCTTTGCCTCATGCCTTAGTGCCTGCCTGGAGTATTTTATTATACTGGTGTACCTGTCTACCTCCATCTCCACCCCTCTTTCTGTCCCCAAAGACTGAGGCCCTGGCTGGATAGGGCTTGAACCTCACTCATCTCTATATTCCCAGTGCCTGGTGTGCTTGAATTTATGCATGTATTCATTCTACTAATATTTAATAAACCAAATATAAAGAGGCCTTCAATAGAAATGAGAATTGCTGAATGAGGGATGGCTGGTTTAGCTCACTTGGTTAGACTGTGGTGTAGATAACCTCAAAGTCAAGAGTTTGGATCTCAGCACTGGCCAGCTGCCAAAATAAAAAAAAAAAAAAGAAAGTTTGCTGAATGAATGAAAGTATAAGGTGACCAAAGCCTTAGGGAGAAGAAGATATAGTATACTAGTTCTGAGTCCTATCTGGGTTTCAGACTTTAAAAATATCTGTTGAAAGATACAGACTTGCCCTAGAAAAATGTGCATGCTCATGTGTATGTCCATTTTGTCTCTAATTTCAGGAATGTTCATGGATTCACTGAAGCCTACTGGACACAGCTTAAGAAATTCAAGTGTAGTTGGTGGGAGCATAATAATATTACATACCTTTGAGCCCATAACCCCACTTTAGAGAGTTTGTCTTACTGATATAAAAGTACTCAGCTTATATTTACAAAAATGTTAATTATGTTAAAAGGAAAAAATAATGTCCCCAAACTAAGAAATGGGAAAAGTGTTATTCTGCATCTTTGTTTGCAGCTTTAGAAAAATCACAAGAAGGCTTGTTTAAAATTAGAACTCGTTTCTTGGTACTCTGCTTCTGATCTGTTTATATCCTTTGTTGCTTTCATAACCATTGGCCATCTCAGACATATTTTTTAGGGGGTGAAACCTTGTTATTCCAAATATCAGACACAAATGTATCCTTGTCATACACTTCTTAGATGTGTGGAACTTATTGTGATTGATCATTGACAGAAAATCAGTATATTCTGCATCTCGGGCCATCCTTCCATAAACATCCTTTGTAACAACCCACATAGCAATGTTTTTATGACCTTGTGAACTGAAACTGCAATCTTTCTTACTTTTCTTAACCTAGTTCTTTGTCCATTTTCCTGCTTTGTCTGAACTGGCGTACTTTTATCATCTTGCTGCTTCTTTGGGTAAGAAATACCGGTAAAAAATTGTCCATGATTAAGGGAAATTTGTCTAATATTTTGTTTTGAATAATCACAGCATTTTTTTTTATGGTGGTAAAA